ACCTAATGAGTTCCTAGGACAGGCCCTTACATTAAACACTTCAGAGTTAAACTGTACTCCTTTATAAGGACTATGCCTTCACTCATTTTAATTCCTTCTTTTGCACTGTAATATAAGGACCTATGAAACTTTCAAAGACTTGTAGTAAGAATATAGCATTCTCATTGAGTTCTGTATCTTCATTCGTTTAATATTACCATCGAAACATGCAGAGGTGATCAACTTCACACAAATTGATGTAGAAATCTTTAAAAAAATAAATGATACAGCTACTGTAAAAAAGTCGATTAAAAGAAAGCAGATTTTTATTCCAAAGTTAGATAAACAATCTAAAAAAAATGGAATTCAAATTAACATTTGGGAAAAAATGGTCTTAGATATTTGTATGTATACCTGTTAGATATTTGTATGTAATACAATACAAAATAAATACAATCTAAAAATGATGTACATAGACATAATTGAATTTTAAAATATTTCAATATTTTCAAAATATTATTGATCTATGATTAAACCAAAATACTAAGAAAACAAATACAGTTATTCACTTCAGAGAAAACTTCAACTTTTGAAAAGCTAATAAATAGCAATGTTTGAAAAATCATTTCTGAATTCAGTAATGCCTTAAAAAATTTCAGTAAACTACCTCTTTAGAATCATGCAGTAGCAGTGTGGACTGTCTGCCTAATTATCAGTTCTGCTGCTGCAGAATAAGCATGACAGACTGAGATAAAAACATTCTGTTATAAATACTACAGATGCGGAAAAAAAAAATTATCTGTTCATTATTATTAGCAGGAGATATTTAAAATCTCAAAGAAATTGGACTGCAGTGTGTAAGGAAGAAACAAAGACCAAAGTTTCATTACCTAGCAAAATGAAATTTGAAGATAAGGAAAAAAATTCCCACAAATTTTAGTAGCTTAAGTGGGTGAGTCAATCAGAATCCACTTGCTCTCTTTTCTGTACTACATTTCAACATTACAATTTATACTACATGTTAATAACATACTAGTTAATATTGCTGCCAGTTGTGTCAAATTTCATTGCAAATGTGCGTGTGGAGAGCAGGAGGCTAATCAGTTGCTCTGTGCTCAGAAGAGAAGGAATTATTTGTTTTGTGGTATAATAGGTAGCTGGTAGGACAGGTTTGTCCTTTATGGACACAGTGTTTATGGAGAACATGTAGGTTTAGCTGTTTCACTAGAAACTGTTTCTTGAAGATTTGTGAGGCAAACAACAATGAAAAAAGCTGAGACACAACACTAAGAAAAATCAAGGCACAAATATAAAACCATAGGTGCTACAGACCATGAGAAAAACCTCAGAGAAACTACAGAAGAGCACTAAAGAATCAAATTCCAGGAAAAAAAATATACATATTACAAACAAGCACCAAATAAATGAAGAATTATGTAGTTCTCTTTGAGTTTTTGGTCTAATGCAGCTCTTTTGATCAATTCTGGATTTCACTTTGTGTGCATTTTGAAATCCCTTTGCACAGTTGGAACACTTTCTGCTTAAAATTGTGTAGAATACCTTCAGAATCTATACCGATTGTGGTATAAAAATAGATAAGCAATCTTTTCTTTGGAAAAGGCTGCTTAATACTTAATGTTACTCTATTTTAATTTTTTTGTAATTCCATTAAAATGTCCATTTATTAACATTCTTATATGTAAAAAATGTATTCTTCGTTTCATTAAAACGCTGCCAATGTTAAAATTCTATTTTCAGGGACTTTATGATGAACTTTTTGGAATAGTAATGACAGGGGCAGAAGGAGGCAATGAATATTTTAATGGACAGTTTGGTGCAATTTGTTTTGACTTTCATTAATCTTTCACATAAGCATGTGTAGCCTGTTCCTCTGCATTCTGCTTCCTTTTCTATGCCAACTCCAGAGAGAACACAAGACTGAAAGGTATCCTTGTCCGTATATTTAGCTAAGCTTGATACAATAAGGTTAACCTACACATGGATTTAATAAAGACCTTGGGAATTCTGGCATAAATGCAACAAGATTTCATCTGCACAGAGCATTTTCCTTTTGTTATTTTACTTTGGCAACCCAAGTTCAGAACTACAGGTGGATGGATTAATAGTCTTATCAAAAACATAAATATTAATAAGGAATTTGTATTCATTTCTTTAGATTGACAGAAGAAAAGGAAATTACTTTCATAGCCTACTATCTGAGGTATCTTCTTATTCTCATTATTTGAGACAATTTTTTTTTTTACCCAGACTCATTATCTGTTGCTTATCAAACAAACCTATCATTCTAGATTGTTGGGTTTCTTTAACACTTGACATTCTATTTCTTGGCTTTCAAGTCTGCTGTATAAAATGAACTCAGGTGCAAAGCATCGTAAAACATATGATTATTGTAATGGATCATCAGTGCTAAGCAGTTTTTAATTAGAAGATGCTCCATGACAAAGTAAACTTGTCAACCCTTTAAAAGAAACGTAATGAAGGGCTGAACTATAATGATGTTGAGAACCTATAACCACTGTATATATAATCAATGCAAGACTATTCTTATGATAGGCTGAGAAAGTAGAAAGGATTAGTTGAGGACAGACTTCTTCACCATTAAATTTAGCAAAGATTGTTCAACCCTAGAAGCATCCTACAGGGTTTATATTTTTAATTAAGTTTTAACAGCTGTTCATGCAAATTCTCCTCTAAATCATTATCAAACATGTTCTAAAGCCATTCATACATATAGCTAATTCATTCTGTGCCTGACAATCCTTCTGCTGAAGCAGTGTCAGCAAAATAGCTGACTATACTAGATTTGGTTAAGGTTTATTTGCAATTTCTGATTAAACTGCTTTTATTGTATTGGATTGTAATGCTAGTCAGAATTAGCTAGATGCTGAAACATGACCAAAACTGATCACAGAATGAATTCTAAGAAGATCAGACAGAAGTATAAAGAGGACTAACCTGCAGTGTGTTTGTTAAGATTAGCAACAGAGCAAAACAAACTGCTGTTCACAGGAATTGTAATTTTGAGATTTAATTTTATATTACTCAGAGGTAGAACTCACAACAGAAGTTCAAAGGCATGACTTTGTGTTTTAATTAAAATTACACAGGGCTCCAAGGTAAACATTTGTAATTCATGCTTAAACAAAACGACTTAATTCTGTGTTCAAATATAAAACAGGATCAATATCCTGCATAACATTTTTCCCCTGTACCAGCAGCATCTACCTATTCTCAACATCAGCAAACTCACCACTCAGTACAAACCGGGTGGATCAGTGACTGATACCGAGTATCAGATAGCATTAAGAAAAATCAGATGAATGTGCTTTAGGCAACTTCATGTTACAAGAAATAAGAGAATTCTCTTCATTGTTTTTATAAATCAGGATATAAAATAACAGCCTCCTGTCAGGATCAGCATTTTTTAAACAAGTCATTACCTTTTTCCTTTCACTTCTGGCTTAGACAAAACCACCACCAGCACATCATCATTTAAAAGGAAAAACCTTTTATTTAGAAGTGCATGGTTCTTGTCTCAGTCTGCATTGTAATGCACAACATTAACCTGAGTAATTGGAAAGGTGTAAAATCATTTTTCTCCTCTATTTTCATATAAATTTCCAGTGGTTTTGTTCATAATCCTAGGATCACAAAAGAAAAAGGAATAATCTATGACTTGGCAATAATAAGCACACAATAAAAACTGCGCGATACAAATCTTTGACAAAACCCTAATGATAATTAGGCTGTTTAATTAAGCTGTCTCTAATTAGAGGTAATCTCTCTGTAAACAAGAAAGGAGGTGCCAAATGTACTGACTTAAAACAGTTCACTGATTATGTATTAAAAGTTATGAGACTGTTTCACCGTTTCAGTATGTCCACATAGCTCTGAAATTAAGAAATATTTTGTAAAAATATGTTGCTCAAAGTTATTGCTATTTTGATTTCAGCTGTCACAATAATTTCACGGAGCACCCTACTGTTCTTCTCTATATATAAATTCCTGTAAAATACTGTATTGAGAGATTATGATTCATCAGAAAACAATTATTTCCCTCCCTAGACAGTTTTCGATTCTGTCTCAAACAAATAGTTTTTGTTTTGTCTAAAAAAAACAAAAAACAAAGAAAAAAAAAAAAACATTTATAGAACTTTAAACTAAGCAAGGTGACCTCCAAAGCACCCATCACTTAGGAAAAAACACATCTGTTGCAACCACTGCGATATTCTCTGTAATTTATTTTTATTTTTTTTGAAGACCTGATTCAAATATACTCCAAGATTTTATTTTCAGCATGAGAACAGACTTTGATGATCTTGTAGTGGTAAAATGCTGTGTTATTTATCAATCAAATGCAGAGGCTGACATTCTTTTCCATTAGCTTCTCATTAGCTTGAAATATTAGAGTGAAAGAAAAAAAAAAAAAAAAAAAATCAGTAAAGAATTCTGACATACTTCATCCCCGTAAAGGTGAAAAGAGATTGATGAAATTTACTTGAGCCACTTCACTGTGGCTTTCAATTCAAGTATAGTAAAGCATCACATTCTCCTAGCCCATGAAAAACCCATGTGTAGGTACTGAGGTGTAGGTGTACCTCAGGAAAACACTGTCTTTTAATGCTGTGCCAAATAAGCATACAGTTTTCTTGCCATACAATGGGTCGTACATACACTGCCATAATTCCATGTTGCCTCATCACCATTTCAGAAATTTTGTTTCCCTTTAGTCCTTCAAATGTAAAAATTAAATAAGCAATAAGCTGTCTTATCAATATTAAACACGAAAAGAGATTATTAGAAATAAATAACTTGTGATCTAAAAATGCTAAGGACTCAATGGGGTCCCCAAGTCTGAAATTTACATGGCAAGCAGAAAACCTAAACTATGTGTTAATGGAAGCAACAAGATTATTACTGCTGACTTCTTTCTCTGCTACTGTGGTCTTAATATGATTTAAAAAAAAAAAAAAAAAAAAAAAAAAAAAGGATGTCTAAGCTCAAAGGCTCAACATAGTTCTGGGATTTTATTTTATTTGGGAAGTATAGCAAATTTTCTGATTCCTACAAAAGCGAGGATTTACAGCAATCTCCGTACGATGCCCTGGAGGCCCTTCAAACCATTGTAAATAGCCTTGGAACAGAAGCAATTGTTCTTATACTTCAGAAGCTTTATGGAGAGAGCTTGAATTAAATGAAATAGAAACACTAAGGAAAAAAAATCCAATTTTCTAACAAATATAACAAGCATACCAAAAGCTAAATCTCACAATCAGTGGATTGAAGAGATCAGTGAATGAATTTCCAAAGATAATGCTGATTTTAGTAATATTACACCCAGGCCTCACGGAAGTTAACAGAAGAGAAATGCACTTGAAGATTACACAAAGATCAGTTTTTACCTGATGCACCAATTTAACATCAAGTAGCTCAGTAGCTATTTTCAGGATAGTTATAACAAACTGCTCAACTCCCATTAGAAGTAGATAATGGAAATTGTAGCAGATTTCACTTCAAGCAAGACATGCTAGACAAATATGTTGCTTGGTAATGCTGGATGAGGAGGTGAGAAAGAACAAAACCAACAGCAGCAACAAAATCCTGTAGAGAAATCAATAGCAAAAACACATTCTAGAAAATGATCAAAGAGAGAAAAAAAGATTTGTACAACTACCTGTAGGATAAGTACTGCCTAGAGAATATTTGGAAGGGAAATCAGTGGAACTAACTTCTTTTGAGTCCTTGAGGATTTTTTTTTTTTTTTTTTCCAAACAGCAGAAAATCATCAAAAATAGAAGCACAAATTTCCATGCCAGTCCCCAAATCTCAGATAGCCATCTAGTTCCCATAAAAGTCCCTATGGGATTTCCTAAACACACTGTTAGCAATAATTTTATTCTTTCAAAACATCTTCATCCGAAGGGGAAAATAAAAGAAGTAGGGAAAAACACAGTAAGCTTTTGGACAAGATAAATATCGCCCATTTTCTGCTTTTGTTCACATTTCATCAATCTGTTTGGGTATTTCCTAAAACTTATAAGTAGCTGGAAATTGCCATTCAATTACTTGTTTGCATCCTACCATTTCACTTTTCTCTTTGTGTTTATTGGTTTCGTTGCAGTGCAAGCATTGCTCCTGTAGTACAGACAGTACATTTCATAGGCTTTATCTGAAAATATGAGAAACAGTATACAGGTTTTTTCTTCTTCTAAAAGCCTACAAACTGTTTCCACACATGGTAGTGCTTTTGCATAGGGACAATATGTGGGATCTGTTACTATCAAGTATAAGCCTGTACTATCCCCTTTGAAAGAATATAAGCCAAGTTAAAGCTTTAATAATGTTATTCTTGCCTCACCCTCCACACTCTTTAGCTAGTCTTTGGGGCAGGCAATGACTACGGCAATCTCTCTGTTAAGGATTGGAGTGTTGTATTATTATTCCACCTCACTATCTTTCATACTTCTCTCGCAATTCAAACAGTGTTTATGTCTGTCACTTGTTTAGCAATGTGAGTACATCGCATTCTGTTCATCTCAATTAGAAACATCCTGTGACTAAACATATAATTTGAATTATGCAGCATTTAGTCTATATGACTACTGTTGCATACCAAATATCCACTGTATAAAATGTCTTTCCATTGTCCTTTTTTGATAAACCGACTTACACAATCTAAAAAGGACACGGTGGAGAAATAACATCACATGGAATAGAAGTTCAGGCATTGAACAGAATTTAACTCAACTGTTTAAACACTTCACTGCAGAAAAATTAGCTACATGAAGCATCAGACTGCACAGAAGCGTCAAACTGCGCAGATGGCAAAGGAGATTCCTTTAATGCACTATAACAGTTTTTGTCTTACCTAGGATACAAAATAACCTTACAATTCCTCCCACATTTTAATGAAATTTCAGAAAGCATTTGTGAGTCATTTGCAATAGTAAAGCAATAGAACTGGAGAAAGGATGATTTTTCAGGAGGGACTGAAACCTAATTTGAAACTTAGTAGCAGGATTGTTTGTGTGTTTGTCTGAAACTCAAAGAAAATTTTTGATAAAAGAAAAGGACCAGCTGTCAAAAAATCTCATACTGTCCTGCACACACTACAAATATGCCTTGTGCCTAGAAGCCATCCTCATCAAACAATGCCAACCCAGCAGCTCCTAATGAAAAGTAGGCAAGACAATGCAATGGCATTCCCTATGACAGCAGTGTCTTCCATCTTTGGCTAATTTTTCCATGATATTCTTGCATTTTTCAAAGATTCTTACTGAGAACGTTCCCACTGCCCTGCCTCTGCTACCTGAAAACTAATGAGCAGCACTAGTGATTGGTGTGCAGCTGTGCTATATATACATCTCTGAGTACGTTCAGTAAAATTCCTGCTTCTACTAGTTTTCCCAATTATCACAACATGATATAGATTCACAAATACTTTAACTCACAGGATACTTACTGTAGAAGCAGACTAAAGCAGACTACAGCTCCTGCCACATGCTCACGTTCTGGTCTTGGAGACTTGGCAGTTTGCTTAGATACTGATCCAGTCTTCAGGTAATTTCACTCTACAGAATCTTTTTGTTTGTTTGTTTTTCAAATGAAACAGAAGACATTTCTCCTTCCCCTTCTTTGTTCAGCTTCACTGAATTCTGGTAAATCTGAGCCAGATCATGCACGGTATTTTCTGTTCTTTTCCATGTAGAGTTTTTTTGGACATTGTTTTCGTTGGGTTTTTTCTTTCCCAATAGATCTAAATGAAAATTAGCATCCGATTGTTACAGCATTAACAATGTTATGCTGTACATAAACAAACATAACAGTCTAAAAGCATAGACTAGTAAGGATGTAAGCATAAAATGAAGAAATACTCAAATTAACAAATATACACTCAATGGTGAAGCACAAGTGCCTATTCCTGTAGAGCTATCACTGTGGGGAAAAAAAAGCCTTGACATTGTAGGCCAAGATACTTTCAGAGCCACACTCATGACTTCAATGTTTTGTAAGGCAGAGGCACAGAGCCGATGATTCACCTGAGCTTTGCTTGTAAGAACATTCTCAATTTTCCAGAAACTGCACAAGACATCAAGGTCATTAAGGTTCCTTCTATGTTTACCTGCATTTAAATAAAACCATAGCTTGGCTGAGAACACTTACAGTGATATTAACACAGAAGAGCTATTACGATAAATCAAATAATTCTTATCATACTCTGAATATTATAGGAAAAATATTGGTATGCTATTTTCTCCTTGAAAAATAGCTTTTTGGGATTTAGATTACACAGATAAAGGCAAAAGTTAGCAAGATCATCAGACAATTAATATATTTTGTTCTAATGCGTTCAACAAAATCTCTAGAAAAACCAAAGTACAATTATTATTATTATAGAACACGCAACTCGTTTCAATAATAAGCCTGGTGCAATGCAATTTGATGCAACAGTGACATGACAACCAGGAGGATAGTACAATGTATTACAATCCCTGCTTTATAGCGACTTCAGTATTTCTTTAACAAGATATTATAGTAAATGCAGATAAAACTATTATCCTTTCATGGCTTCATAAAATCTTTGTGATAGCAGAAGAAAATAATAAAGCTGAATAAAGCTAAATTTCACAAAGATCAGAACCAAATTTTTAACATTACAAAAATTACCTACTATTTACCATGTATAAAAGTCCTTCCAAGTTGCAATATTTACACTTGTATGCTTTGTGCATTAACTAACGCTTGGACAGATTAATTCCATTATTGTTTTTTTTCTTAAATTGTCTATTTAACCCAATACAAGCCAATCCATAGGCAAAACTAGCCTGCCCTCTGGCCTGCAAGATTCTCATAAATAACAAAGCAAGTTGCTTTGGTTCTCTGGCAGGATTTCATCTGTCACAAGTACTTTCATTATATCCTCTTTAGTGAAATTTGCTAAACAAATCTCAGAAAACACAATTTCCAGGCAAGTGAAATTTCCTTAGAATCTAAGATCAATTTTATTAAACAGTTTTCTGAGCATATCTGATTTCACACCGATTTATCCAAGGGTATCAAAACCACTGGATGAAAAAACACATTAGATGAATCACTGTATTTTTCATTTAGATTTTGTGCAAGAAGAAATTTTTTTAATACTCAATACAACAATAGTATTGGCCAATAAATTTGATATAGTTTACTTACATGTCCTTATTTAGTGTTTTCATACAGTACTGTCACTTCAATAAGACATTTTAAGACTTGCAAGATGATTGAAAGTTGATTTTGTTTTAATCTATAGCTCACCATCTTTTTTGCTGATTTTCTGAATTTACTGTAGCATTACTGCTCTCATCTCTTTTACTATTGTTTTTAAATAAAATCAGTTTTATTAATCATCTGAAAAAGAAATTGAAGACAAGTTTCATGTTTCTATTATAAATACTTGGATATTTTCATATTATTTTGGATTCAGCACATATAACAGATGTTGCAGTTCTCAAAGTCCAGATAAGGTTCCAAACAATCCCTAGAGAACTTCAAGAAGAATTTTTTAAATATATTTGCTAAATATTAGCTATGATTAGTTGTTCAAATCTGCTCACATATATACAGTTTACGTCAGTACAACTAAATTATCATCAAATTATAAGTTCTTACTCTTTCTACCATTTATAATAAATACACTAAAAACCATATTTGCAATACAGTATCTGGTGACAAATCTCTGCAGCAACATCAAGTTAAACCTGTGTAGTCAGATAGTATTAACTGAACAAAAATCCAGGTAAGCTACAAGCCTTAAAGAAGCTGAATTGTTGCCATCTTTCAGTATTGCACTTTGTTATTCAAGCGCCCCAAGCCTATTCACTTACGATTTCTAATATGCTTTCACATCAGGATGATTTTCCATTACTGCATTTCTCTAATAATACATGTTCATAGCTGTGGGTTAGTATTAAAGAAAGAAATTGACCTGAGGAGATTTGAGTTAAGTATTCTACCCAGTAGCCTTGTAGAAATCATGAAAAAGGGATAGTCTCATGTCCTGAACACAGTCATTTCATTCTAATGGATTTTATGCTGAATTATTTTCTTACTAGATGTAAAGGTTTATATAGCCACTATACAAGCTAAGCACATAACTGAAAGATTAAGAATAAAGCTATAGCTCTGACAATCATACCTGCGTTACGCTCATATTAAGAAATTAATTCCTAAAATGGAAGATATATTCTTTTAAAATAGAATAATTAGCAACAGTAAATTTTATATTAATCTATAGCCAGATTTCATTGATCAATACTTGAGTAAATGAGACTCTTTCGCTGACTTATTATTTTACCTTTTTTAGTTTCTTTTTGCATGGTTCACTGCATTTATTTTTTTTTTTTTTAATTGAATTTTTTGTTTTTTTTCTTTTAACGTATATTGCAGTCTCTCCAAAATTTCTGAATTTCTCTGGCAAACTGTTGAAAATATATGGGGAACAAAGGAATGGGGGATAGAAAACTATCATTGAAATTTCTTGTGGGAACATTTGAAACGTAGAGAAAAAAAGTGTCTCAGTGCATGCTTTTATTTTATTGCACACACTTCAGACTTGTCTACTGAACATGACAGTTCTAAACATCTGAACACTCATTAATTGCACTTATTTTTCCCGTAATTTTTTAATCAGAAGCTGTTAAATGCTTTTTCATATTCATCCCTTTCATTTGAAACGCATCCTTTACTTTGAAATAATTTACTGGGAGAAGTTGTACTGCTTTAAAGCAAAAACAACAACATTCAAAGAGTTTCCAGGTACCACATCCTCTTTCAATTTAATTATACCAAAGCCTTCTCAACCGATATTAACTTGGTAATATGATGGAATTATCATCATCACTTAAACTACCTGATACTCATCGGTAAACTTTCTCTTTCTGTACATGGTAGCTGAAATTTAAAAACAGATGGTAAGACTGAATATGCCAAAGCATAGTCATAAACTAAATGAGATGTGTTTATAAGTATATAGATTGCTCTGAAAGTAATGCCTCCCATTTATTTGGTAAAACTACTCAGTAGAGCAAGTTCTCAGCTATAAAGAACTATTTTCAACATACCACCAGTAATTACCTATTTTCACGAGCAGTAAACAAGAGCCTGCATGCAACCCTTAGAAAAATCTGCACATGCAGAGGTGAGCCACTCACGCTACTGCTGAAATGCACCACCCAGCCCCATCCATGTGCTCACATCCACTGTTTAGTATCCATAATCATTCAGCAAACATTGATGAATGTCAGTAGGAGCCATTTTTTCCACTTGAAGGAATTCAATGACACACCTTTACTTCATCTGCACTTTCAAGTCAGACATCATTCTGTCAGACTGCCCCTCTGCTGTCATCTGTCTCACAGCAAAATAACGTAACAGCATACTGATGGAAGGGCTCAATCTCTACTGCCATACCACCAACATCCACTACTGATGTCATGAGCCAACATAAAATAGGAAGAATTACTATCAGTGCAGTTCTTGTATATAATCATGATGAATTAGCTGTTATCTGCACGCAAGAAATAAATTCTATTTCAAGCTGAAAATATGAACTCTTATGGAATCTAACAAAAGTGAAATTTATTATGAGATAACAAAAAAAAAAGTAATACAAAATATATTTTAGGATTTCCATACCTTTTCTACAGTGTTTATTACTCGTCAATTATTTGGAAAAATGACTCTTCATCCTGAAAGTAGGGAGTGCCAAAACCCAGACCGGTAGCAGCTGCAGATACTGTTTCAGAGTTGTTTTCTTCTGTCATCCAGCTGTTTTTCCAGCAACAAACTCATACCAGTTACTGTTTCTGTATTGTATATAAAATCCCTGGGAAATCCGTATTCTTTCTGTGCCTTCTTGGTTACCAGCCAACTCATTTCCTGCTCTTGAGATATTTGTGTATTAACAAGGTTTGCTCATATGTTCTGAGTACCAGCTTCAGTGCTATCAAATAAAGGTTCTGAGAGGAACTGCTGGCATGAAGCACTTTTTTCCTGCATGTTTGAGCATATCCAATGCATGCATTCCATTCTGGCTAAATACAATGACCTTCACCCTGACGATTCTTCTCAAATGAATGGTCAGTATTTAGGAGGTGGCTTTTATCATTCAGAAGCTGAGTCAAGCAATACTAATTAGGTGGCATTGTTTAATCTATTTTTTTTTTTTTTTAAGAAATGTGAACAGCACTAATATGGAAAAAAATATTTAAAATATAATGAAAGAAAATTATAAATGACTACTGACAGTGAGAAATATTAACTTGCAGTTAAGATGCATTGGTATCTGAGGTAGAGCTCTGTTTCTAGCAAGAGAGGAGTGTCTAAACTTCAGTTTGTTCCTAAAAATCAGTAGTTTTAGTGAAAAACTTTGGAATTTTCATAAACGTTAGGAACATTTGTTTCTTTTTTTTCCCCTCACAAACCTATTACAAAAATATATCAAAAGGAGTAGCCAATAAATAAAACAATCATTTCAAGGTTTTGTTTGTTTGTTTGTCTTTACAGTTGTTAGTAGGCAATAAAAAGAATGGAAATTTTTCTCTACAGTAGGTTGCATTTTTTGAGCAAAGAGGGTTCAATGCATTTAATGATCCAAGATACTACAGTACTAGCTGTCTGAAAAATATCAGGAGGAAACAAAAACAAGATCTAGAACTGCTGAATGAAGAGTGAGAAGGTGAATAATAATGAGAAGAAAAATGAAATGGGAAAAAGAACAGACAGAAAGGAAAGGGCTTTTATTTTAAATGAGATTGTAATGTTCTGCTGAAAAATATTGGTCTTCATAGTAATCCTTCTTTATAGTGAAGACTTGTCAAGCTCTAGGGAGAAATAAAAATATTTTCTATTCATTATAAATTAATACAGTGAATTTCATTAGGAGTGATTGTTTCTACCACCTGCTTCTAGTATTTAGTGCTAAGATTTTATAAATTACTCAGCACCTCATACTTCACGAATAAATGTGTCAGAGTCAATCTCAAATGACCAAAAAATCTTGTATATGTGTATATGTATATACATAAAATAAAAGTAAAATACTAACACTAAGAAAGCATAATATATTACACTTATGCTTCCTTATTATACTTTTTTAGTTGGTGGTTTCCTTTTAAATAGACCAAGTCTTTATTCTGCAGCAAAAGGTTTCATTAATTATAATAAAAAGATAATCATCTCTTTGCTGCAAAAAGAAACAGTTCCTAAGAGCAACTTCCAACATCAACTTAACTAATATGTTCTACCTGACATAGCAATCCAACAGACTGTGATACAAGTGAAGAAAATGCACCTAAGTTATCACTAACTCAGATTCCCACCGAATAAATGATAAATAACTAAAAGGCACTTAAAAACAACAAGATTGAAAGAGACATTGTATAATCAATGAACACACAGGTGTTATAATTAAGAAATATACTAGAGAGTTCGGCTAAACAGGTTATTACATCAAAAAAGAATAAAGAGAGGGCTTACCTCTGGGCTCATGTTTGGGTTCACCGAAAAACTCCAGAAAAAGAGATCTCCAGAAAAAGATCCTTCCCCCCTGGAAGTCAGCTCTTAAATGGGGTCTAGGAGAGGTGGAGCCAAGCTCCACCCCTTCCACCAACACAGGTGAATTGCCTTCACCTGTGCTCCCAGGGCTGACTCATTGCTTGCCTCAGGTGATCAATCAGAGGTTCAGACTATAATTCAGCAGTTCCCATACAGACATTTAGTAGCTACACCTGGAAGATGGTAAATGACAACAGCAGAATTTATAGTTGCAGGAATTCAGGTGAAGTTCTGAAAAAAAAACAACAAAAAACCACTGGAAAAAAGAAACCAAATGCAATTTCAGAATAATAGAATAATCACACTTAGCATCCATGATCTACTAAATGTCTGAATTTTGAACTTCAATTTCTATTTTGTACCTGGAAATAAATACTCCTTCTTTCTCTCCCATTTCACATCCAGGTACAAATGTGACAAAAAACATCACTAGTGATATCTAGTTTGATAGCAGTACTGTGAGCTACAGGATGACAGACAGTAGTATGAAAAAAGTATTTTTCACTGCAAATGTACATAGTTTTACTTAGTTAATTTAATTTTAAAAGCTCACCCTTTGCTATTTTTTTTTTTGAGCTGCAAAGAAAAGAAGGAAATATCAGTGACGTGTTGTATTCCTACAAGACATATGTAAAAGGCAAGAAAAAAATTACAGTTTTCCCTTAAACTGCTTGAGTCAGTAAAGCCACTTATGAACAAATTAATTAAAGCTTTGAATAAAAACTGAATTCAGAGCCATTCTTCTCTTGTCCTCTGCTGTCAACAGAAATTCAGTCCATCAGTCGGTAGTGAGGAAAGACAATTGTAACTGAAATAGAGTTTATCAGTTATATCCCTTTGTTTTGGTACCACTTCTATTACAATCAAGGCAATAGTCTCAGATTTTCAAAAAAGAAAAGCTTACTAGAAAAAAAAAAAAAAAAGAAAAGAAAAATGAGCATAAAAGATTTAATATCAATCAATTGCTGTCAGTTTTGTCAGCTGTTTTTTCCCCCCTCTCTCTTGTGTTTTTCACAGTGCCCTGAATTGTACAAGGGGTTCTGCATCCCCAAAACTATTTAATAATGGCACATTACCTAGCAACTAGGTTTAGCATGCTAATTTTTTATTTTTTTAAATTTCCTTTGGAGAGTTGAGTGAGCCCTGTTCTAACTTCTGCAAATGGTGATTAATTCAGAGCACTTGAGAGAACCACAAACTGTGTCTGAAAAGCAATTAGAAATTAGGTGAGTCAGGGAGTCCTAATTCTGTCTCCTTTCTTTCTCCTCCACCCTGACATGCTTATTTTTAGCCCTGTTGGAAGCCTCATCATAACTTTTTTATTACAAATAATCATTGGGATAATTAAGATTACTTAAGATCATTTCATTTTTTAAAAAGTCCATAATCTGAAAACACTTTCATAGATTTTATCATAAAATATTATTTATGGAACATTCTCCTTCTAAAGAATCAAGCAAAGAAATCTCAGTACAAAGATTTTAATCCATCAGTGTTGCTCTGCCACTTGCATATTGTTCAGGTGAGCAAAGCAACCAAAAGGTTACAGAAAGGATGCTGCCAATAGAAAGTCCTGATGATGCACCAAAGTCTTTTAGTTCTCTTTCCTCTTTACTTTTACAGAAGCGCAGACCTCATCAGACATTGCTGGAAACAGAAAAGATTACTTCTCTATCAAAGCATTCCATGCAGCTTTAACTGTTAAACATAAGATGGAAGAAGCAGATTAAAGCCTGGGAGTCCTTTACAGATAAAACTTTTATACATATATTTGTATCCATCATAAAACTTAGCATACAGAACACTGGTAGAAGGGATATATATATATATATATATATATTTTTTTTTTTTTTTTAAGCAGTTCGCCTTTAAAAATTGGTACCTTATGTTTTAGCGCCAGTTCTGCTGTGAAATCAATGGGTGTATCATTAGTGCAACTCAATATGTACATTTCTTCTGCACTAGCTTGATGAGTCTCCAACTGCAGTTGCTAAAAGCCAAAGATTCTTGAAGTTTGTTGAAATATGAAATGTCATCAGAAAGGCCATTCGAACTCAGCTCTGAATAATCAGTAATCCTGGGCATGTTTCACACTGCAGCAGGTATTGAAAAGGGCATTGCCAGACAACAGATGACGTGCAAACAGAGTACATTTGAGAGAATAGCACTAGAAGTAAAATGTTCTTTTAGACATCAGATACACCTGCCTTCAGCTCTAGCAAGGCAGAGCATACTGCACTTAATTCACGCATGGTAATCAAGAAGGATACATGCACTTCTTTATGGTGCTCAGTTCTATCTTTCAGATACCGAGAAGGATTTAGAACATGAGGTATGTCCTTTTCTATTCTGTGCATAGGGTGAACACGCATCAATATCTGTGTAAAATGCCTTCATTGAAAAAACACAGTATTTGCTTTCAAGGAAAGTTTTGGTGGATCCTATTCACTCCTTTACTGTTGATAGGAAAAAAATAATAAAATTACATGGAGAAAAACATGGGAGAGGTAGTTTTGTTATCTAAAAGTCAAATACACATTTAAATGATCACTGCTATATTGCATATACTTATTTTAACAAAAGCCTGTAACAGTGTGAATACACACACACACCAGGAGCACATACTGTTCTTCTACAAGTCCACATTCGAAGAGAATTCCACCAACAAAAAAATTTTTGAAACTAGAATTTTCTTGTAAATATTGAAAGGTATACAACTGAGTAATTTTGGAAGAACAAGTCTTTAGATATTTTAGTATTCTAATGACTGTGTTTCCAAGGAGTTTATTACCATTACATCCATTTAATTAGTACAGATGTTAATCATTTGATATACATTAAGTAGGATTTAAGGATTACTGGTATCTTTTTAAACGTCAAGGATCACAAAATTACATACTATTTGTGAATAAAAGTTCTCATCATAAGTGACATTTGGAGGTATTTTTATTTGGTTTTATGATTAGTTACTGTTGCAAACAAATCTTATTAATTTAATTCCTTGTTCATAATATTTGCAACAGAAGAAATGGACAAGGGAAACACGCCTCCTTATCAGCCTCTTGCCAGAAACAAACGGCCTTTTCAGTTACCTTGAAAAAAAAAAAAAAGTAAATGCTGTTCAAAGAACTCTGGCTACCTATTGAAGATGACTGAGGAGCAGTTATGCCAACTGGAATTGATAATGTTGAGTAGGAAGAATGCGGACATCTAAAAATAATAAAACTTTGTTGTTGACTGCAATAATAAGATTATAAGCTTTTTCATATTTACATTTAGATTCTAGAATTGTTCCTGTTGTCCTTTAAATACAATCTGTCACAATACATAGCATGTTACAAGGACCCACATTATGTTTTTAATAAGGATTTTTGATGATAGATCTGTAGCAAGAAAATACGTGTGGACATGTTCACATACAAGACCAAATATTGTAATTCCCAGGGGAATTACATCAATTAAAATATATGCTTTGATGCAATGATATGTTAACGTAATTCTATAAAGCAATTACTGTAGTAACCTACTCAAAGTAAAAGCAGAAGCATATTCTTTCTTCAATAGAAATTGTAATCATGTAATCATGTGTTTGTATATATTTTGAAAAGAAAGTTTGTTTTCCACTCTAAATTTAAATACATTCTTTCTCCTCTGGCCTCAGTTCTGTAGCAATTTGACACATAACATTACCATGTATGAATCGCCTGTTGAGTAATCTCTTAACATAAGGTAGAGCATGAAAACAATTTGTGCAAATGAAATTCAAACAACAAAAATGTGTGCTTAAAGAAGTTAGTGTGTCATTCACAGTACATAAAGTCTGTGATTAATTGTCAATATAATTTCTCCTTTGCCCTGAACAAAAACATTCTGTACTTCTCTGAAGCAAAGAGATCTTCAGTGAATAATGATCAGGTAAGTGGGATTTCTGCAGAAGTTGGAGTATAAAGGAGTAGGGTGCATATGGTCCTGCAGCTTTCCAGCTAAGGAGAACATTGGGAGGAGAGTGAATTGGAGGCAGAAAACAACTCTGAGAAATGCTCATGCGCCTTTGAAAAAGGAGTGAACATCAAGAGGATGAAATGTGCATGGGCTTGTGTCAAGTGTAATACTTCACCCAAGAGAATGGTGCTTGTCCATGAGCAAATGGCACAGGCCCCACATAGCCCTTTGAGGGAGAATTTTAGCCCCATTCTCCGAGTTTTTGGAAAAACTCAGAGAAGGGCATGGGTACACTTTCAAGTCTCAGTCTTATTAATGTCCATACAAGAGCTGATCACACCTACCTGGCAGATCCAATCCTGCTCAGAAAGGGAGGAGTGAGGAGGTTCAGAAGAAGCATCAGAGGCTAGCAGATGAGAAATGGAGCCAGTGCATTTAGTTACATTTAGTACTGAGGACATTCTTCTGGGGAGAAAAAAAAATAAAAAAGTTTGCAGCATTGGAAACTACTTTTAAGCAGATAGACACTTCTGGGATTCTGAGTCCAGAGAGGACAACATACCTACCAGGGCAGACTTAAGAAGGAGTCAGCTTGGAAATACATAGGAAGAATCCTATAACCCTTTTCTCCATGTGTATTAATTATAATTATTCAATTTGCCAGAAACCAAGAGCACTTTGGACAAGAGGCAGGGAACTGATCTCAAGTGTAAAGAATCAAAGTGTTGACAATTGAAATGAACAAGGTTGACAGTGAACTTTATGCTGACAGAGGGAAGGCTGACAGGCACAGAAGTACACAGGACTTAAGAACATTCGTAAAGATGAAGACACAAAAAATTGTATATCAAGAGAAGGTTAGGTCAGGGCATAGAAATAATCAAATATGGAAATAGGAAACTGACAAATTGCCATTTTAAAAGAGTGCCAAGAATTGAAACTAGTCAATATTACGCCTGCCACTTTTTAAATGCTGGAAGCCTAAGAAGAAGAGAGATGGACAAATTGGAATGTGTGATCCAAATTAAGATATTAATATACCAGACATGTCAGATGCTCATGGAAGTCAGACAATCAATGTATGGTATGAGAGTGGAATACAAAATATCCAGGAAAGACGGAGCAACCTGAATGATAGCAAGAGATCTCCACTATCTTAAGGTTTACTGTCAAATCGAGTTAACAAATCAACCAAGAATCAGTGAGCATAAATTTTGTATAGGGTAAAATTCCAAGTCTAAATTTAAAAAATATTATTTGGAGTTTACGCATCGG